ACACCACCCACCCTCACACACCACGTGTAACACACCCACACACACCACCCACCCTCACACACCATGACACTATGTACACAGCACACAGCATATGTAATGAGTGACGTACACAATTTATGATGTTGTCTGTCAGAGCTGCGTTGCTCACTAGAAAGCTGCCCTTCTCTGGTGGTTGGAACCCACCATCAGATCTACAAGAGAAAGATGAACTATCTCACTTGTGGTTGTAGCCTAACAGGGGCATTCCCAGCCGTTACCTTATCCCCCTCTGGACTCAGCTACCTTAACTGAAAACACATAGTTTCATAAATCATCAACAGCTGTGGGACTAGTAAGAGAAAGTATGTGCTTCCCACCCTGAGCAACAAGACTTGAGAGAGAGTGGAGCAAGACCCTCCTGGTGAGATTTTGGTGCTGAGACCCTGGTGATGGTGCTGGAGACACTGTGGCATTGCAGTGGAGAGCTGTGGCAAGGTATAAGCAGAGGAGCCCTACGATAAAGGCCCCAGTTAAAGGGTTTTGCTGTTCTGGCTGGATACCTGAAGGAGAAGCTGACTTATAACTGCTCTGAGGCAAACCTTGCTGGATGGTTTGGATTTGATGGCTGAACTGAAACCAGGACTTTTGACAAATAATGAATTGTGTCTTGCTGCTAATCTGGCTTGTGACTGCTGAAGTAAACCTGGGCTTGTGTTGTGAGACATTCTTTGCCTCCCGCTCCCCAGACTATTTCCCTAATCAGCCCCACTCTTGGTACCATGTGGGTAAAATCTGTGAGTCAGCGATGAATAAATGAAGCTCTAGCTCTCTAGGCACCATGGGACTGGGCGATGGGCTCTTCACCTGCTTTCTGCTCTGGGGTGGTGAGGGGCTGAGCTGTTCTGTCTCTCATCCTTTCAGAAAGGTGCTTATAGCCCTGTGCCTACATGTCCCATTCTCTGCTCTCGAGGCTTCCTTTACTGAAGGATCACCTCTGAGCCAGTCTGTTTATAAAACTCAGTGGGCAGTGGTAGCTGTGAGGTCACATTCATGTGTGTGTGTGTTCGCTATATGTTAAATACATTGTTTACATATATGAGAGCTATAGGGGGTAGATGAGCACAGTGGGTGCCGGGGGGCTGGAGCTGTGAGGTCTGACATGGGCACCAGTAATCTTCATGGCTACCTGAGATCCCCAGGTTCAGGCATGCAGGGATCTGGTCCAGGGGTGCTGGGATCTATCTGGTCCGAGAGTCTAGGGATGCTGGGATCTGGTACAAGGGTACAGGGATCTAGTGCTGGGAGCTGGCCCAGGTGTTCAGGTATCTGGTTCTGGGGTGTTGTGATCTGGCCCTGGGTCTGGGGTTGCTGGGAGCTGGTCCTGGGGTTTTGGGAACTGGTTCAAGTGTTCAGGGATCTGGTCCAGGGGTGTTGGGGGGGGGTGGGGTCCAGGCGTTCAGGGATCCGGTCAGCACTTCCCTGATAGATGCAGTCTGAGTGGCTGGACTGTGCACAGCCTCCACCACCTGTGTGCAGTGGCCAGTCGTGGCTCCGTGCCCCCCACTAATCACTGTGTCTGCCTCTCCAGGACTCTGATCACAGGGATGGCGTCCGGCAGCATTGTAGCTTTTAACATCGACTTTAACCGGTGGCACTATGAACATCAGAACAGATACTGAGCAAGGTGGTGCCCAGGACAGCAGGAGGAGTGCCCGGCCGCTGTCCTGCACCACAGCACAGCCATCCATCTGTCAGCGCCCATTTCCTGTGTGTGTTTTCACGACTGAACACCAGCCAGCTCTGTCATGGAAATTATATGAATTACGAAATGTTTTAGTAATTATTTCATATATTGTTGTTGATCGTCAGAAGGGTCATAAGACACGTCCCACAGACTCTGAGCCCTGGGGGGCACATGTCCCCTCGCCCAGCGCCCACTTTGAGCCTAACCACCATCGCATTCCAGCCTCTTTTCAAGCTGAGAAAAAAGAAGAAAAAAAAACCCGTTTGATACTTTGTACATCAGATGCATCTTATTTAAAGGGGATACTTTTGTAAAAGTACAACCTTGTATAAAGAACAACATTTCTAACTTTATGGTGGAGTTAGATCCCTGCATGCCTTTCCCCACGTCCCTGCAGGAGCAGGCTGGTTCAGACCGGAACAGAGGAGCCGCCTGAGGACACGCTTGTTGGAAAGGGCTGGACTAGGTTCAGTAGGTAATCCCTGGCATTCTCGCCAGAACTGAGTCCATCCCTCTCAGAGACACGTGTCCACGAGGCACCTGGAGGCGAAGCCATCGCTCGCTGCCAAGTTCCAGGTACAAAGAGAAATCTGCCTTCCTGATGGGCAGACGCGGCAGAACGGCGGCACTCGTCCTGACCGACTGGCAGTGGAATGGGAACGGCTTCCGCCAGCTGCCGCCCCTTCCAGAATCGTCCGCAGGCTCAGCATATGGACCTGAGAGGAGGGAGCTTCTTTTGCCATTTGTTTGGTTTTCTCTTTGGTTCTGGACTAGACTTCCCTTTGTTTATGACAAGTTGGATTTTATTATGACTCCCGCTGTTCCTTTTGGTTGCAGGGTCTCCCCTCAGCTTCGTCTCTGTTGAGGCCCCATCTCCATGGTATGAAAGTGTGGCTGTCCCATGCACCCCGCCCCGGTCTGCACCCGGAGGGGTGCCCTCACCGTCTGTCCTCTGTATTTGGTGACTGTGATCATAGAAGTACATACTGTGTCGGTAGGGCAATGAGGCATGTTACAGGAATGTCGTTTTCTCCGAATTGACACTCACACGCAGTCGTTTATTTTAAAAGCTAAAGACCAGACAATAGATTCTCTGTCCTGGCACTTTGCACCCGAAACATATCATTATTTATCGATGTGACTCCTTCGTTCGCCACCTTGTACCTGTGCGTGGAAGCACCGACCATCTCCATGGTTGTCTGTATCTGAGGCCGCAGCCACCGGGGGTCTGCCTGCCATGGGGACTCATGCAGTGGGCACACCCACGGCCAAGCTGTGGCAGTGTCTCAGGTGTGTGGCTGAGGACGGGGGCGTCCCAAGGCGGAGAGGCAGTCCCGCTCATCCTGGGACCAAGGTGGAATATTTTGGATAGACCAACCCCTTACACTGTTGTAACCATGTTTTATTGCAAAGATGTAAAATACACCAGATAATGTGTGAGTTGGAAAACAAAAAGGAAAAAAAAGAAAAATAAAATATGCAAAGAATTCATCCAGGCGTCCTTGCTCCGTGGCCAGCTGACCAGCTGCCTCAGATGTCTCCATGCCAGGTGAGAAGGACACCCCCCCCCCTCCGGCCCATTGTAGCTTCTAGGACCTGACCATGCAGCCCTGAGGGACTGTCCTTGTGACCACCCGCAAGCATTCAGGGCCTAGTGGGCAGGGCTCATGAGAGGTCACCATCCCACCAGCCGTCTTTCCCTCCCAGAGCATGTCAGCTGGTCACTGAGTGTCCTCACCAGGAGCCCATACTTGTTCCTCACCTACCAGACATCACCCAGAGGCCAAGGACCGGGTGGGGTGGGGACAAAGACAGGCCGGGACAGCCAGGAAGCGTGTCTGTCTTCATCCTCTGTGCTGACAGGAGGGTCGCTGGGCCAGACAATCTGCACGAGGGGGTGGCAGCCTTGGAAGGCCTGGTACTACTGGTTGGGTGATGGGGCTTTGTTGTTTTATGGGGGTCTTTGGAGAGCAGGTAGGTGGATGGGGCACTCCAGGACCGCACTTTCTAAAGCCTGCTCCCAGCTGTGGAGTTAGAAGCCCCTGAGCTGACCCTCCAGCAGCGTTTCAGAGCCTTCAGTCACACGTGACAGCTTGCCCATCCTCCCATGGGACCACCAGGGGATTCGAACCACCGGAGAAGCACTACCTTTGGGTTGGCAGCCCTGTCCCTGGGGACTAGGTGACTGGACTCTGCTGTTTGTGGGTCATATTCTAGGGGCTGCTTCTCTGCCTGCCAGGGTGTGGTCATCCTGCGCCCTCTGGCCTGTTCTGACAGGACACCCTGCAGGCTGTGGGGTCCCCCTCATGGTCACACCTGAGCCGTGAGGCTATCCCCAGAAGCCATGTCTGTTCACTGAAGCCCCACTGGCAGGCTGTTAGGAAGTCGCTCTCAGTGACTGGGCCCCCAAGTTCTCCCCGCCCAGCCGCCCTCTTACTCTCCACAGACACGGCTTGCTCTGGAACTCTCACATCATCATACTTCTCATCAGGGCCCTGCCTGCCTCTCACTAGGAAGCCAGATGTCCTTGAACTGACGTGGGGAGGGGTCTCCTGGAGCTTGTTTTTAAAGCTGAACTTCCTGCCCACTCCCTACCCCCAAAGGTGGTGCCTGTCATGTTTTGCAAAGCCCTGACTCGGAGGGGCTGCACATGGAGGGCACACAGCTCAGCAGCACAAGGCCCTCACCCCCCAGGTCCCTGCACCCAGCCACCACACTGTCACCCTGTCTACTCCTGGGCACAGAGTTCCTGAGGCTTTAATCTCCCAGTGGAGCTTGCCAGGCCTTCCTCCACCGTCCCGCTCATGGACTTGAGCCTCCAAGCTCTGACTCAGCGTATTTACTGACCACAAGAAACCCCAGGCCCTCAGACAGCTCCTCTGCTTTCAAATTCTCCCCAGTGTCCTTGGAGCTGCCAAGCTTTCCCAGTAGAAGCCAGGAACTGGCTCACCCCCCTGTGAGTCTGAGCACATCTGCCCCATGGCGCGTTCCTTGCAACGTGGTTGATGCTATCTAGAGGTAGTAGGTTTAATCATCTGTCAGATGCAGGGTATGAAAGGCACTGTCCTCCCAGATTCACAGCTTGGTGAGCAGTTGAGGGTGAGGGGCCCCCTGAGCTGAGGGGAGAAGTGGTTTTGCTGGCCTTTTTCAAACTGTGCTGAACAGATCATAAAGTCACCAACATTCCGGTTAGCAGCCACACCCCGCACAACTACTCTTCATTCATGTTTTTCCTTGATCAAATAAAGGTAGCCTGGAAATGCTTTTGGAAAGTTGCTGGTACCTGAAATCCAAAATCCCAGAGCCCAAGCCCCCCAGGACTGAGGTGAAAAGTGGTCCAGCATGGGCCAGGGAGTGACCAGGCTCAGCCTTCCTGGTACTTCATCTCTGAATGGTTGAAGGGACCTGATAGCCAGTGTGCCACCCACCCCTCAGCACCCCGACATGGCAGAGGCCACCCCCTCCCCTGCAAGGGTCAGTACTGTGCCCCTGTGGCTTGGCTCTGGGCTTATCAGGTTGGCTGGGACTGGACTGGCTGTCTTCCTTGTCGGTGGCACCAGGGAACTTTAGACTCCTAGTGACCCCACCTGGTCTAGCCCCTGTTGCTGCTCAGGCCACTGTGATGGTCACTGTGTCAGCCAATCCCATGGAAGGTCTGTCTGTCCACCCCTGACCCTCTCCTTCTCCAAGCATGATGTCCTCCAGGAACTGGCCCTGTCTCTCCATCTTTCCTCAGAGGTCACCTCTGGCTGCATGTCTCCAAGGCAACAATGTTTGTTCTTATCAAGTTCATAGTATGTTCAGTATTTTTTGCCAAAAACGTAATTCAAAGGCATTGATTGTCTGATCTTCTTCCGTGATGTAATTACCGTCCCTTTTGTGGGGATGTGGCCAGTTAGTTGTAGAGAAGATCCTTCCTTCAGGTGGGTCGTGACCTTTGGGGCATGGCCTGTGGAGGCATGGCCTGGGGGCATGGCCCATGAGGTGTGGCCTGTGGAGGCGTAGCCCGTGGAGGCGTGGCCCGTGGAAGCGTGGCCTGTGGAGGCGTGGCCCGTGGAGGCGTGGCCCGTGGAGGCGTGGCCTGTGGAAGTGTGG